CGACGTGCAGCAGCAGCAACACGAAGTACAACGGCAGCAGCACGACGTGCAGCAGCAGCAGCACGACGTGCAGCAGCAGCAGCACGGCGTGCAGCAGCAGCAGCACGACATGCAGCAGCAGGAGCACGGCGTGCAGCAACAGAAGCACGAAGTGCAGCAGCAGCACGACGTGCAGCGGCAGCAGCACGAAGTACAGCAGCAGCAGCACGACGTTCAGCAGAAACATCACGAAGTGCAGCAGCAGCAGCACGACGTGCAGCAGCAGCAGCACGACGTGCAGCAGCAGCAGCACGACGTGCAGCAGCAGAAACACGAAGTGCAGCAGCTGGAGCACGAAATGCAGCACCACGAAGTGCAGCAGCAGCAGCAGCGGCACGAAGTGCAGCAACAGCAGCAAGAGGTGCAGTAGCAGCTGGAGAAAGTGCGGCAGCAACAGGAAGAGGCACATCGTCAGCAGGAGGTGCAGGAGCAGTAGCAGCAGCAAGAGGTGCAGCAACAGCAGCAGCAAGTAGCAGAGCTTTAGCTGCAGCAGCTGGCAACAGCAGCAAGTGCTGCCAGGGCGCGGAGCCGCGATTACGGCGCTTTGCCCTTTGCGTCTTTAGTTTTGGGTGCGGCGTTGCTGCATTTGCTGCTGCTGCTGCTGCTGCTGCTGCTGCTGCTGCTGCTTGGTGGCAGCAACAGCGGCGGCAGCAGCACGGGTTGGCGCGTACGCTGCCCGCTGTGTCTGCGGAATACACGGGCCCCTGCAGGGCCTCGGCAAACCCTAAACCCTAAACCCTAAACCCTAGATCCAGAGGGCTGGCGTTTTCCTTGCGAGTCCTCGCGATGAGCAAACGTGAGGCAGCTACAAAAACTATTTACAATTTAAAAGTTTTAAAAACTATTTTGAATTATAAATAATAAAAAACTTTTCATAGATAGTTGGGGAGTGCTGAAGGACACAGCAACAAAGCCATGAAGCCCGCGCGCGGCAGCAGCGTTTGCTGCTGCTGCTGCTGCTGTCCGTCGTGCTGCTGTGCAGCAACCTTGGGGTGCTTCTGCTGTTGCTGTTGCAGCCCTAGAGCGCTGCTGCCACTGGTGAAGTTCTGGTGTGCTGCCGTTGCTGCTTCTGCTGCAGTTCTGGCGTGCTGCTGCCGTTGCTGCTGCAGTCCCAGCTTGCTTCTGCTGTTGCTGCTGCTGCTGCTGCTGCTTCAGTCGAGGGTGAAAGTCACCCAAACTGCAGCCACAGCACAGCGCCCGAAACCCTAAACCCTAAACCCTCGGCTTCGTCGTGCTGGTTAAAGGTCAAACCCTCAAGACCCAGCTGAAGCGGCCTTGATAGCTAGCGACCAATGCTGTTAGGGTTTAGGGTTTAGGGTTTAGGGTTTGCGTGCCTGGCCTGTAAGTCTGGTCTCTGGGGTTTCTGCCGAAGAACAAAACCGCCAAGTTTGTTGGCCCAGCAGCCCGAGAAGGGACCCACGGCGACGGCGCTGCAGCACACAAACCCTAAACCCTAAACCCTAAACCCTAAACCCTAGACACGACTTCTGCACGGAGACCCCGCGGTGGGTTTGGGCGTCTCCGTCCAGGGCTGGCTGCGCGGGTTTAGGGTTTAGGGTTTAGGGTTTGTACCGTCAGCAAGCGTCTGCAGCTGCTGCTGCGCCGCATGCAGAAAAGCAGCAGCAGACACGAGGCCCCTAGCCCAGCCTAAACCCTTATAAAAGGAGTGACCTGAAGAATAATAAAAACAAAAAAGGAAGCGAGAGGGTTTAGCTCGCCGCAGCAGCCCCAGCAGCAGCAGCAGCAGCAGCAGAAGCCCCAGCAGCAGCAGCAGCAACAGCAGCACAGCTCCGTCTTCGCTGCGCACCGCCAGAAGTAACAAAGCCCGCTAAAGCTCTGCATGCGTCGGGGGGGCCCCCACGGGGCGC